GCTGGCGTCAGCACAGCGGGCTCTCCGTCAGCTGCAGTGGGAGCCCGAGCCCACGACAGGTGCGCCCTCCCCCCGGCCCACTCGGCCCCGGACCTGCTTGCCGCCCACCTGCCCGCATGTGATGAGCTCTCTGGCAGGTGCACGTCGGGACACGGGGGTGCAGGTGGAGTTCCGGGAGCTCGCCTTCTGTCTGCGCAGTCCTGGAGACCTGACAGCCCCCGAGAGGGACCAGATCTGTGACTTCCTGTACGGCCACATACAAGCCCGAGAGCGGGAGGCCCTGGCCAGCCTGCGCCGCACCTTCTGGACCTTTCACAGGTGCAGGAGGGGTGGATGGGCCTGGGGCCACCTCCACCCCGCCCCGCAAGGGGGCAGCTCTGACAGATTCCTCTTGCCCCAGCGTGGCCTTCCCCAGCTGCGGGCCCTGCTTGGAGCAGCCCAGTGAAGAGCGAAGCGCCAGGCTCAAGGCCCTGCTCAGCTGCTACTTCAAGGAAGAGGGTCCCGGGGACACGGAAGACGATCAGGACCCGGAGCCAGGACAGGCAGCGGTGAGAGCTAGCGCCTCCTGGCCTGCAGTGAGCTCAGCCAGCACACGCAGGCGTACACACACGCACACTCTGCCTCCTGGCCTGCACCGCGGTGGGCTGTGTGGAACCTGGCGCCATGGAAGTGGCCTCACGTCCCCGCCCTCCACAGATCCAGGACTGGGAGGACCAGGTTCGCCGGGATGTGCGCCATCTTCTGTCGTCGTGGCCAGAGCAGCAGTTCTCAGGCAGGGCTGTGGCCCGCATCTTCCACGGCATCGGTGAGGGCCTGGGAGGCTGGGCTCTGACACGGGTGGGGGTGGGGCCTGGCCCAGAGTCCTCAGGGCACTGTGCCCCATTGTACCCTGGCAGGAAGCCCCCGCTTCCCAGCACAGGTGTATGGGCGGGACCGGCGCTTCTGGAGGAGACACCTGTGCCTGAGCTTCCCCGCCCTGATGCGCTTGGCCACAGAGGAGATCCTGCGCTGGGGCCACTGACCACCGTGCTATGGGCCGGCCCTGCTCCCCCACCTCAGACGCCTGCACAGCCTGTGGCCTGGCCACAGTGTGGAGGGGCTCAAGTGTGGCTGTGCGTCAGGGGAAAGGGACCTTGGTGACTACCCTGGGGAAAACCCACCATCAGAAGTGCAGGGGCAAGGAGGCCCCAAAATGCAGAATAAAAAATGCTCAAGTCACTCTTAGTAACTCTTTTCTGAGGCCAGCCTTGCCCGTGTCACAGCCCAGCCAGCCAGGCCATGGGCACACCCAGCTTTATTAGGCCGGTGGGCACCCAGCTCAGGCCAGGCTGCCCGGGGCCAGGCTCAAGTACAGCACGGGCATGCCTGAGAGAGCCAGGAAGAAGGCAAAGCAGAGAGGCAGCCCCAGGCTGTCAGCCAGGGCTCCAGCCAGCGTGCCCAGGAACAGCTTCCCCAGCAGCTCCAGCGTGGCCAGGAGGCCATAGTGTGTGGCCTGCGGGGACGAGGAGGGACGGGGCAGGAGGTCAGGTGAGGGGTCACTTGGATCCCAGCCAGCCCTGCAGCCCTCCTGCACGTCCCCGCTGCAGCCCCCTTACCTGCAGGGCCCGGGGCGCCAGCTGGCTGCACCGCATCATCAGGGTGAACGTGGTGGTTGTGACCAGGCCCCCCAGGAGGTGCTGCAGACACAGGCTCAGCAGGGCTGCCCCTGCGAGGGCCAAGGTCAGCGGGCCCCAGGACTCAAGACCCCTCCCCTCCCGCAGCCAGCCCCTCACCTCTCAGGACGGTGCTGGGGCCCAGCCTGACCCCTGGGGTGTCCAGGTGGAAGAGCAGGGTGGTCTGGCAGGCCAGACCCCCGAGACGGAACCGAAGCACTGACCTGAGCAGGGGCAGTGGTTGCCTGAGGTGGGGAGATGGGGGCGCGGGTCAGGGGGGGCGGCACAGGTCGGGTGGGTGCAGGTGAGTGAGCCAGGCTGGGGAGGGCTCACCTGTGCCTGGCCAGCAAGGCCCCGCCCAGGGACGAGCCGACAATGGAGCAGACCACGGCGCCCACCCCGTTCCACAGCCCCAGCTCTGGAGTGGGGATGCCGCGGTCCAGCAGGAAGAGCGGAAACAGACTGCTAGCGCCCTGCTCACCTGTGGGGAGAATGTGCGCCGGGCTCCCGCCTCCCTTCACCCTGGGGCCTTTAGAGGCACGCCCCTAGCTGGGCACTGCCTCCGTTCTGGGCCCCAGGTGCCTGGAGATAGCTGGGGCCGGGCATCAGGCAAGCTTTGGGTCAGCACAAGGCGGCATCAGAGACCCGAGGCGTTGTGGCTGGAGCTCGCGGGAGCCGTGCAGCAAGAGCTGGAGAACCAGGCTGAACTCCAGCCTGCTATGCTAACGCCCCCCCGAAGGTGACCACCAAATGGATTCCAGGGCTCCTGGAGACCCGCCGGAGGTCCCCCAGGCTCCCACCCTGCTGCTGCCTGACTCACGGCCTCACTTACCCAGTTTGTAAGTGAGCACAAAGCCTGCCGTCCACAGAGTACCGGGCATGGCCAGCAGGTCCTGCAGAAGGTGCAGGCTGCGGAGGGGTGGTTCCGATGGCCCAGACGCAGGCAGTTGTTGCAGGGCCGGCGCCGCCCAGACGAGGGCAGCAGCCAACCAATAGGTAGCGGCCAGGAGCAGAAAGAGCAGGGGCCAGGAGAGCGTGGGTACCAGGGCCAACAGGCCCCCTCCTGCCAACACTGCCCCCAGCTTGTAAGCGACCACTTGCACTGTGTTACCGGGCCCCAGCTCGGCTGGCTCCAAGAGCTGGACGGCCAGCGTGTCCAGGGCCACATCCTGCACAGCCGCACCCAGGTTCAGCAACAGCAGCAGCCCCGCCACAGTGACCGGCAGCCCAGCCGGGCCGGCTTCCGCGGGTGGCAGGGCGGCCAGCAGCCCGCACACCAGGCCCAGCGCAGCCGTGCTGAGCATCAGCCAGGCCCTCAGGGAGCCCCGCGTGTCCACCAGGGGGGCCCACACGAGTTTAAACAGCCAGGGCAGGTACAGCACCTTGGCCAGTCCCACGCGCGTCAGGGAAAGGCCTCGCGCCCGCAGCAGCACGGGCAGCAGGCCAGACTGCAGCCCGTAGGGCAGGCCTTGCACCAGGTAGAGGCCGGCCAGCGGCAGCAGCTTCCGCCGCATGGCCAGGAGAGCGGGGCGCCCGGGGTCTAGTGCTGGGGGGCGGGGGCCCGGCCCGGGATCGGGCGGGGACCGGGGCTGGGTTCAAGGCCGGACCAGAACCTGGCGCCGGGGCAGAGCGGTTCCGGAGGGGGTTCTGGGCCGGTCAGGGGTCACACGACCGCATGGCTCGAGCGGGACCGCTCAGCTCACGCTGGGACAGGCGGTCGCCCGCGGGTCCTGAGGCGTGCGTACTACGCAGGCGCGCAACGCGCGGACACTGAGCGCGCGAGCGGGCCAGAGCGCCACCCGCCCTCGGGCGCCCCCAGTGGCCAACATGGGTGCGGCCCGGGAGCCGCGGGCCGGGCGGCCACTCGCCTACCTGGCGTTGAGCCCGCGGCCCACCTTGGCCCCTCCCCCAAGGGTATGATGAGATCCGGCTCCCAGACCCCCTGGACCCACACCCTGAATTCCCACAAGTGCTTCCGTGATGTCTCACCTGCAGCCTGGCTGCTGCAGTGCCCACCGGGTCCTTCCAGCAGTGCCCAAGGGAGGAGTCCGCCTCTTAAGTGCCCATGACCCACTACTGCTTACGCCCTTTCGGGGCCGCGAAAGGTCTCAGCAGGGCCGTTGCAGCCAGCTGCTGCCGGAGACGCCCTCCAGGGTCCGTGACCAGGCCAGGAGAGGCCCACCCAGGCCCTGCCTCCTTGCTGCTGGCTTGGTGGAGGGGAGAGGTACGTCCCCAGAGCAGCCAAACACGGGGGGTCTCGCGTGGTCCCTCCTGCTCACAGTGGCACCCACAGGACTCCCGAGGCCCAGAGGAGGAAGTGAGTACAGCCCGTGGTTAAGAACCACCTCCGGAGCGGACAGAGCTAGAGCCTTCGTTCCGTCTCTGAATCCTTGACCCCCTTAAGCTGACCCAACCCCTAGAGGAACAGCTGGTGAAGCCACCTGGAGTGGGTCTCCTGTCACTTCGACAAGCTTCCTCATCTGTAAAATGAGGACTAGCGTCCCTCCACAAGATGGCAGCAACCCACAACCGTGCCTGTTGTGCACACAGTAAGCGCCATCTCTGCTCCCGGGGCCAGGACATAGGGCTGCACACCCATCCCCAATCTGGGCCCCCCGGGGTGCCTGTGCGTCAGCATTTTACAGCCCTTCCCCCCGGCACCTGCCCTTGGGTGCTGCAGCGTGGGAGCCCCCCTCGCTGCCTCCCAGCCCAAGGGCTGTGTTTGCACTAGGATGTCACATACTCCAAACCCAATACAAACAAAGCAAGACCTATGTGTTCGTTCTCCCCACCCCCACCTTGGCTCCTCCAGCGGCCTCGGGCCGAAGCACCTGCTCATTCAGGAGGGGAACCAAGGCTTCCTCCTTGAGTCCTCACTGGGCCTCCGTTTGCTGCCGCTCACCCAGCCCGCCCGCTCCGTCTTACAGCTCAGGATGCTCTCTGTGCTGCCTGCCAGGGGGCAGGTGGGCGATACAGGAAGGCGCAGCCGGGCTGCCGGGCTGCGTTTTTCTTAGGCTACGTTTTCAGACGTGGCCACCCCTGGGGCTCAGCTCCCGGGTTTCTTCACCCGGCTTCGTGCCCACCCTGCTGCCTTCCTTCACACCTTCACTCCTCCTCACTTTTACGTGACGTTTGCCATGTCTGCCTCAAGACCAGAGGCCACGAAGAGAGCCAGCCCGTGAGGGGCAGCACGTCTGCAGTAAGGGACACCGCCTCCCTCCTCTGGGAGCCCTCCTTGACCACTCCTCCTCAAGGCTGGCAGATGTCCTGCCTGGGGCTGGGTCTCCAAGCCCCACAGAACCCCAGCTCAGACAGGAAGTCAGCAGTGGACAGAGGCAGGGGCGGCTCTACGGGTGTGCACACAGCCGGCCTCCAGGTAGTCAGGCTGCTTCAGCTTTATTAAGGGTCTGCAGAAAGGCAGGGGCCCAGCCCCACAGGTAGCGGGAGCAAGTCCAGAGGGCTCCAGAGACCCCCAGGGAGGGCCCTGGCCATGGTAGTCCAGGGCCGGCCCAGCCTGGCCCCAAACGGGGGCGGGGCTCAGGAGTATTCTCGGGTGAACTTGGCGTGGAACTGGCTCAGCTTCTCCAGCAAAGGTCGCAGCTTCTCCATGGGGGGCAGAATGGTCATCCTGAAAGGGTGAGGGGGGTAAGCGAAGGTGCTGGGGGCGACTGGGCTGAGCCATGCGGGGCTGGGCCTCACCGGAAGTGGTAGGTGCCTTCCTGCTGCCCAAAGCCACTCCCTGGCACCACGCAGATGCCGGTCTCCTCCAGAAGGCGCATGCAGAAGAGCATGTCGGGAGCCAGGCCCAGCTCCTGGGGGCGGATGGACGGGCCGGCGCTCAGACTCGGCGCTGGTTGGCGGGCCCCACCTGCGCCCCCAAGCCCCGGGCCAGCCGCCAGTCGGGCCACACCTGAGCGCGCTGCACGGCGCGCGGGGGCAGCTGCACGCGAGGGAAGGCGTACATGGCGCCCTGCACCGGGTTGCAGCGGACACCAGGGGCCTCGTTGAAAACCTGCTCCGTGAGCTTTGCCTTTGCCGCCAGCTCGGCCAGCACCGCCTGCCTCTCCTGTGGCCGTGAAGGGTGAGCTGGTCAGACCCGGGGCGGCCGGCGTGGCGCGATGGCACCCCCGCCCCGCCCCTCCCGCTCACCGCCTGGAACTGCGCGAAGGAGGGGTCGGAGGGCGCGGGTGGGCTGACCACCATGTGCAGCAGGGCCTGGCCCGGCACCGGCGGGCACAGCCGCACGCTCATCAGCTTCTGCATCTGCTGCTGCACCGCAGGGTCCATGTTCACAACCTCCACGTAGCCGCCGCGGAACCCGCACCTGCAGCCCAGAGCGCAGGTGTCAGGGCGGGGCCGGGAGGGGGCCCAAGCCAGGGTGCCGTCCTCGTGACCCCGCCCACCCAGCCTGCACGCACTCGCCCATGTAGCCCTTGGAGACCGAGTGGAAGGAGGCGAGCTCCTGCCGTGTCGCGTATGGCGGCCCCATCTCCATGAGCACCTTCTTGAACGAGTGGAACTGCGAACCCTCCGCATACACATTGTCCTGGTACACCTGGAGGGGCGGACCAGCTTCACTGGAGAGGAGGGTGCTGTCACCCGGGCCCTGCAACCCCAAGACCCAGGCGAGCCCCTGCCCACACCTCATCAGCCATCAGGAAGAGGCGCTCCTCAAAGGCAAAGCGAATCACCGCCTCGATGCACTCGCGGGCTTGCACTTGTCCTAGGGCGCAGGGGATGCACCATGTCCAGGGTCAGACTGGGGCTCTGCGGGGGGGGGGGGGGACAGACTGACCCCGTGGGGAGGGGCAGTCTGACCCCGTGGGGAGGGGACCAGGGAGGGGTGGGGGTCGGGCAGCGCACCAGTGGGGTTGCCAGGGTTGATAATGCAGAGTGCGCGTGCGCAGCAGTAGCCACGCGCCTGGCACAGGGCGCGCCGCAGCTCGGCCACGTCGAGGGCCCAGGCGCGTTCCTCGTCCAAGTAGTAGTCCACCTGCACAGCATCGAGCTCGGCCAGCGCCGCGGAGTACAGCGGGTACTGCGGGATGGGGATGAGCACGCCTGTGCGGGTGGGACCCTCTCCCGCCACCAGCAACTTCAGCACCGTCTGTTGGCGGGATGGGGAAGCCAGGTTGGTGGGGCCCACAGGGACGGCATCTGCTCCCCGCCCAGCCCCGGAGCACCGTGCCAGGAGGAGAAAGGTCCACCCAAGCCGCAAGAAAAGAGCCACGGCGTCTTCCTGCCCTGGCCCTGGCCTACCACGATGGCGTCGCTGGCCCCGGTGGACAGGAAGATGTTGTTGGGGTCTGCGGGAATGCCTCCGTCGCGCCGCTCGATGTACCGGGCGACGTCCTCCCGGATCAGCTGGATACCCGAGCTGACACTGTAGGCCCCTGGGCCGGAGGGCGGGGCAGGACAGGGAGAAGAGGACCCGAGAGGCTCCTTAGTCATCCTCCAGAGTATCTCCCAGCAGTCGGGTCCACCCCTCCCCTGGGACGGCCTCCCACCAGCTCCCGCTCCTCCCTGGGGCTTTGCCCAGTTTGGGCACTGGCACTTACCCAGGCTGTGTCCCCCACATGCCTGCAAGATGCGCTCAGCCCTCCTCTTGGCGTCCTCAGGGAAGTCGGGGCTGTTCAGGAGATCAGGGTGCACACAGAGGGCCAGGACCTGGGAGCAGCAGACACTGAGCCCAAGCACGTGGGTGGGTTGGGGAGGGGCACCAGGGCAAACACTGAGCCTCACCTGACGCAGGAAGGTGATGGGCTTCTGCCCCATGGCCTGCGCGTCCCCGATGTTGGCGCGGATGACCTCAGTGAAGGGCTTCTTTACCCCCTGGGAGGGAAAGGGCACAGGTGTGAGGATAGGACAGGTCCTCGTCCTGTGTGACTATGGGAATGGGCCTGATGCAGCTGTCCAGGTGCAGCCTGGAGGGCAGTGGTGGGGCCCAGGGCCATACCTGGCGCAGTTCCTGCTCCAGCTCAAGGGCGCGCAGCACAATGGGCCCGCGCACCGCGTACTCCACCCTCCGAACACACGGGTTCATGGTGTCCAGCGTCAGCACCTTCTCCTTCAGCCCGTTCATTGCAACCTGGCTGTGGTCACCTGCCCTCAAGGCCATGACCCTACTCAGACCAGGCAGGAAGGTCAGGACACAGCAGGATTCGGGCGGGGAAAAGGAGGCTGGGTCCAGACTCGATGGGCCGGGGCTGGGAAGAGGGAGCCCGGGTAGAGGGGCTCAAAGTGAAGGGCACCCTCTTCGCGGCGGCCTGCTGGCCCCACTGAAAGGGACAGAAAAGGCTGAAGAAGAAGTCGGGGCCGCTGGGCCCCGCCCCACCCGTCTGGGCACAGTTCTGCCCCAGGGAGCCATAGGGAGTGCATGAGGAGGCAGGCGGGGCTTGGGGCGAGGCCCAGTGCCCGCCCAGTGTCCCCATGACAGGGGAGCAGGAGACCTACATGGGGGGTAGGGACAGACAGAAGGTTCAAGAAGCTCTGTGAGACTGGGCCTGGGGGAGGGGAGGTGTGCTAAGTGCCCAGATGGGTTGGCAGAGCTGGGCAGAGCTAAACCCCCAGGGGAAATGGAGCTGGGACCCTGGAGATTTACCCCAGCAGGGCTCTGCCAAGTCCTAGCCCTCTCAGGACCCCCATCTTTGCTTGGGCCAGCAGGCCTGTCTCCCAGGTAACTGAGTCGGGCCTCTATAGAATCCTGGCGTTACTGGGGGAGGGGAACGGAAGCTCAGATGCGGGCTTCCATCCGGCTGGCCCCTCCTGGGCTGGCAACCATGGCCCGCAGGCTCCACGAGCCCTGGGGTTGGACCTTGGTCCCAGATCAGCAGTAGGTGGAGGCCAGAGTCTCTGGGTTGGGATGTTGGGCGACAGGGTAGGGCGGCTCTGGGCCCTCGGACACTGGGCTCCTCCGGGCTGCCGTTGTGCCCTTTCAGCATGCCCCAACCCGGAGCTGCCCTTGGGCCACACCACAGGCAGGGGGACCTAAGCTCCCCCTCCCTGTTGCTCCTGATTGGCAGAGATAGTGGGAAGCAAGCTGTGATAGGACATCAGGGCCCCACCTCCCCTGGCCCTGAAGGGCGTGGACAGGCCATGCCCAGGGGTGGCTACCCCAGCTGCAGACACCTGATTCGGAGCGAAGGTCAAGGAGCCAGCCCTCTGAGAGAGGCTGTGGGCAGCTGGCCAAGCCTGACACCAGCCTGGGCTCCTCTGCCCTTGCTGGCCAGCAAGGAAAGAGCAGGAGCCCCAGGCAGCCAGCCTCGGTCTCCCCTCGCACCTCTCAGCTCTGGGCCATCTTGCGCCCCCTACCCCTACCCCCTGGGCCCTCAGAGCAGAGCACAGGCTAACAGGACCCCAGCCCCGGGCAGAGGCGGCCCCGCCCAGCGCTGGCAGCTGACTGCAGTGGACACTGGAAGCTGCGCTGCCCCCCCCCCACACCCAGTTTAACCTGCAGCCTAGGCCCCGGCTCCCCAGCTCTGCTGAGGACACCCCTCCAAGCAGTGATGCTCCGGGAAGGATGGGCCCTGCACACATGGGGCTGACCCGTCCCATGAGCGAGGAGAAGGTGACCCGGCACTGGCGGCCATGCAGGGCTGCCCACCACTGACACGCAAGCTAACAGCACCCTCGGCCCTCCCATCTGAGGCCCCTAAGGGGCCCCTGTCACCCTGACACATTGTGCCCAGCCAGCTCAGGATCTGGGCGGCCAACCTCTGGTCCCCTTTGCCAGCCCAGGCGGAGCCTGGCAGCCAGGCCCCAGGATCAGGGCTACGTGCCAGGAGTGGGGGGACTCATCCCCCAGGGAGGTTTCTGACTCCAGCCTTCATACGGATTCTCCCCTCTGGCTTGAAAGTCTTGTGGGAAGGCCCCTCCCCTTCCACGCCAGGCTCCCTGCTCCTCTGCCATGGATACCCCCAGCCCTGAGCCCCAAGGAATGTCCTTCCGCAGCTCCCCGCTCCTCTCAGGAAAGGAAAGAGTTACAGAGGAGTCTCCAAGAGGCTGGGAGGCAGGGAGGCAGGGCACAGTCCAGGCCAGGCTTCCCGCCCAGCGGCCGTGAGCCTCACCCCTGCGCAGGGCCAGGCAGCCCCAAGCAAGCCCCTACAGGCCCCACACAGGGACCGGCACACCCAGCAGCAGCACCTCAGCTCCCCACCCTCAGGACAGCGGCCCCGCTGACACACACGACAAGGCAGGTGGCAGAACAGCCCTTTATCAAGAGGCACACGATGGAACTAGGTCTCTGCAGCCGGACGGCCCCCAGGAGGGCCTCTGCCAGAGGCTCATCCCTGAGCGAGGACGCTGGCATCCCCGGGAGGGGAGCTGAGGGAGGTCCCGCGCCTGCGCTCTCCCAGCAGCGGCAGCAGCAGCAGGCGTACACCGGGGTCCCCAGAGCAGGGGCCCCATGGCAGCCTCCGGGGGACTCCGGGTGCCAGCCGCTCACATGAGCAGGCAGCAGGGCCTCCTCTCCGCGGGGGCCTCCTCCGAGGGCGCGGTGAGCTTCAGCAGGGGCGGGTCTCCACCGGCCCTGGGGCTGTGCTCCGGCTGGGGGCTCGCAGCGGCGGCGGCCGGCGGGCTGGGCTCAGGCCCCTCGGGCCCCTCGGGCGGGGGACGCTGCAGCTTAGCAGCGGTTCGCTGGCGCTTCAGCTCCGCGAGCGTGTGCTGGGCCTTGACCCGGCCCAGGGCATCGGGGACACAGCTGTCCAGGGGGCTCAGCTGGTAGGAGACGCTCCGGTCCAGCCGCTTGGAATACAGGTGCCGCCCCGGGGTGCCTCCGACTCGGCCGTTGTGCGGCCTGGCCGACTCGGGATCGTCCTCCTGCTGGGGGAGCGCGGGCCTCAGGGGCCTTCTCCGGCCTCCCTGGGCCTCGGGCTCCAGGCTGCATGGCCACCCGGGGCAGCAGCCACGCCCGTGCAGCACCGGCCCGCTGTGTGGGCACAGGGTCACTGGTCCCACGACCCCTCGTGCGGGTGTGGTGGGAGACGTGTGCGCCGACATCAGCTCACATGCCTGCTCCGCACACGGAGGGGAGCGCCCGGGCCTGCAGCTACCGGTCCGCAGGCTGACACCCTGGGCTCACCTCGCTAGGCCGGGAGCGCAGCTCCGCGTCCGTCCGGCCATCCTCGTCCTCCTCGGGCGGCTCCGGGCTGGTGGGCGGTGGCTGTTGCCACACAATGGCCTCCTGGGCATGCTCCCTGCGGTACAGGCTGGTCCTCTGGGTCAGGCTCACCCTCCTCACCACCTTCCTGGGGGACGGCAAGGGCAGGGTGGGGGGAGGCTGCCAGCAGGGGGGCGAACGCTGGGCGGGGGCAGGAGGGGGCCCGGGGCGGGGCGCTCACCCCCGGCTGCCCGCGCTGGAGGTGCGGCGCCGCAGCAGAGAGTGCTGGCGGCCCTGGGCGCGCAGCAGTGCGTCCTGCTTGTGCTTCAGCTCCAGCAGCCTGGTCCGCACCGCCTCGTCCCCGCACACGTCTAGGAGAGGCGGGTGGAGGGTCACCGGGGCCCTCCCACGCAGCCCTCCCACTGGCAGAGGCGGCCCGGCTTACCAAGAGGCGTCTCGTCCGTCAGAGACTTCCCATTCAGATCGGCCCCGTGCGCCACCAGCAGCTCCACCAGGTGCACCTGAGGGCCCGCGAGCCGGGGCTGCTGAAGGGCCCCGAGCCAGGAGCCGGGACCCCACGAGTCCCTGCGGCCGAGCCGGCCACCCTGCCGCACTCACCTGGCCCCAGTAGGCTGCGGCGTGCAGCGGCTCCCAGCCGTCCTGGTCCTTGGCGCTCAGACTGGCCCGGTGCTCCAGCAGCAGGACGGCCGCCTCGCCGAACCCGTTGGCGGCCGCAATATGGAGCTACAGGCAAAGAGCTGGGCCCTGAGTCCCTGCCAAGCCCCTACGGTAGCCGCCGCCCCCCAGCCTCACCTCAGGCTCACCAGCGTGGCCCCGTGGTCCTGGGGGTCATCGAGGTCCGCCCCCGCCTGCAGCAGGCAGCGGATGTCCTCCAGCATGCACAGCTCGGGCAGGGCCCGGGCCCCCTCGATGCTGTCCTGGGTGATGCCTAAAGGGCAGCAAGCTCAGCACCGGCCCTCTGGGCATCCCGGGTGAACAAGGGGGGTCACACTTACCACGGCTGGCCATGGCCGTCTCAAGGCAGTCCAGCGTCCGCGCGTCCTCACAGAGGTCGTAAGGCATGTTCCCGTCGGTGTTGACGGCCAGGAGGTCAGCACCCCTGTGGGAGGAATGGACAGAGGCTTTGGCCACAAAGCCCTTCCCCCATGGAGGCCTCTAGGCCACCCTGTGCAGAGGTCTTCAGCCTGTGGACAGTGCGGGTCAAAGACGGATACGGCCCTGGATCCGGCCCTCAAGCCAGGCGGGCTGTCCCCCAGCCTCCACCTGCCTCTGAGCACCAGGTTCCACACCCACGTGGCCCTGTGAGCCCACACGGGGGCCTACCAGCCGAGAGCGGGTACCAGGCCCCTCGGAGCCTCAGGGAGCAAAAAGGAGAGGGAGGAGGAGAGCCTGGATGCCAGAGAGGGCCGTAGGGAACAAGGCTCAAGCAGAGGCAAGGCCCAGGGGAGGACGGGGAGCTGAGGGAGCCCAGAACACGAAGGTGGTGCTCCCCGGGCACGAGAGCCGTGAACACCCACCCACTGTCAGCACCCAGACTGCTCCAAGGACAGCCTGAGCCCCTGACCACCCATTCTGCTGTAGCAGTCAGAGTTGAGGGGCTGGGGCAGTGGGGGGAGCTCCCAGACCCTGGAAAGCCGACCACCCCTCCCGTCCCCCACAGCTCACGTGCAAAGAGGTCCAGCCCTGCCCCAGCCTCCTTGTCAAAGGCCCCATCTATGTCTAGGTGCCCCCTCCGTCTTCGCCAGGGCTCCCCTCATCACTCGGTCCACAAGGGCCTATCTCTGTGCAGACCCCAGTGAGACCAGAGCTAGAGGTCTGAGGCCCACCCTCAAGAGTTCCCAAACTCCTAAGGGGGCTTGGCAGGAGGGAGCCTCCAGGAGAACCACCACAATTCCCCGAGCACATGCTTGTTCCCCTGGGGGCACAGTGTCTGCAGCCTCCGTCCAGGCCCTGATCTCCAGGCCGGGGTGAAGTCAGGGCGGGCAAAGGGGAAACACAAGCCAAGGGCCAAGCTTCCTCCCCGGACACAGCGGCGCTGCATCCCAGGATGAACCGCCTGTGTGAGGAAGGCCCAAGTCCCGTCCCCTCTCCGATAGAGACGCCCTCCCCCGAGGTAGCAACGGGGCCCTACCGGCTGATGAGTAGCTCCACCAGTTGCAGGTGGCCGCAGGTGGCCGCGGCGTGCAGGGGAGTCCAGCTCTCGCTGTCGCGGGCATTGACCTTGGCCCCAGCCTCCAGGAGCTGCTGCACCATCTCTCGGAAGTCATCAATGCAGCTCTACGAGCCACAACGCCTGAGTGCCAGCGCCCAGGCCAGCGCCCCCTTCTCTCCCCACTACGCCCCCCACACCCCCGCATGGCTGACCTGGTGCAGGGCCGTCAGGCCATCCTCATTGGCCAGGTCAGGGCTGACCCCACTCTCAAGGAGCTGGCGGACTGTGAGAAGGGGTAGGGAGTGTG